ATATATATATTATTAATATATATATATATATATATATATATATATATATATATATATATATATATATATATATATATATTAATTATATATTATAATATTATTATATTATTAGATATCTACAATGACGATTTTCCCTCAAATGTATTACATCCATCAGCTAAGAACAGCTCAACAAAGTATTTTTATAATGTGGGAATATGGAATCAGAGGTAATTCTTTGTGAACATATTATGTGTATTTTGAGTGTATTCTACAGCATAAAACTATATAAAAAAAACTGTTTCAATCATTATGTAAAAATGGTTAAAAAATCTGTCTGTCTGTCTATCTGTCTCTAAATATCTGTCTGTCTGTCTGTCTGTCTGTCTGTCTTATTTAGTGAGAATTAGAAAAACAAAAAATAAGTCAACAAAATGGTTTTCAAAGTATAAGCTTACATAGATTTTCCCCCTGGTTTTTGTCTTTTTATATAATTAATTTAATTTATACATTTAACATCAATGCTATATTTTTATCTAATGTTTTTAGTTTCAAAGTTGATGCAATCTTCTGTTCTTAACTGTTTTTGAGATTAATAAAAAATTAAATAAATTTCTATCTGTCTATCTGTTTTCTTTAATGGGCATAAAAATTACGAGTCAAAAATGGCTTTCAAAGTATAACCCTATTTACATTTTTCTCTGGATTTTGTCTTATTATTTAATTTATATATATTTTACTTTTTTTTCTTTTTTTTGGTGTAATATGCAATATGCATGTAATGTGTAATGTGATATGCATAATTTAACACCATTGCTGTATTTCTTTTCTAATGTTCGAAGTGTCAAAGTAGATGCAGTAAACTTTTATTTTGACACACTAAGATGCAATCCATCATGTGACTCCACGAGAAAGTTGAAGTCACATGAGTTTTTAGTCTACTTAATTTCCCAGCCGGTTGGCGTATCGTTTCTTTTTCCACACCTGGGAAGGTAAGACCAGTAAAATAACACCGCTTTGGCTCATTTTATAGTGTCTTTTACTAAATAACATCAGCGCACCTCATTGTTTTTAATCGTAAGAAAAACAATCCTAATTTCCTGATTGCTTTGAGTTACATAAATGATTCACAGTTTCTGTTTTGGTTTTCGGGGTTATTTTAGTGTATAGATTACGTTGGAAGGTGAACTGAGTAACTGTTGGTGTGTTTCAGATGCATCTTGTGTTGGTGTGTTTGCTGCTGGGGCTTCTGGAGGCGTTTGGAGCTCCAGATGCGGATGAGATCAAATATCTGCCTGGACTCTCCAAACAGCCCAGCTTCAGACATTATTCTGGATACTTCAATGTGGCGGACAACAAGCACCTTCACTACTGGTCAGCAGGATGGCCTCACTTTCATTTCAAATGTCCATATGTGTCTGTCTGTCTGTCTGTCTGTCTGTCTGTCTGAGTGTTTGCTGCTGCTTTGTGTATGTCTGTGTGTTTGTGCATGTGTGTCTGTTTATTTGTGTGTTTGGTTGTGTGTCTTGTCTGTCTGTCTGCTTCTGTGTGTGTGTATGTCTGTTTGTTTGTGTATATGTTTGTGTGTTTGTACATATGCATGTGTGTGTGTGTTGTGTTGTGTCTGTCTGTTTGTGTATTACTGTGTTTGTGTATGTGTGTGTGTGTCTGTCTGTCTGTCTGTCTGTCTGCTGCTGCTTTGTATGTCTGTTTGTCTGTTTGTTTGTGCATGTGGGCCTGTCTGTCCGTGTATATGTTTGTGTGTTTGTACATATGCATATACGTGTGTGTGTGTGTTGTGTTGTGTCTGTCTGTTTGTGTATTACTGTGTTTGTGCATATTCATATATGTGTGTGTGTGTGTAGGTAGGTGTCTGTCTGTCTGCTGCTTTGTGTATGTTTGTGTGTTTGTGCATGTGTGTCTGTCTGTCCGTGTATATGTTTGTGTGTTTGTACATATGCGTATATGTGTGTGTCTGTGTGGTTTGTGTCTGTCTGTTTGTGTATTACTGTGTTTGTGCGTGTGTGTGTGTGTGTGTGGGTTTGTCTGTTTATTTGTTTGTGTGTGTGTGTGTGTCTGTCTGTCTGCCTGCTTCTGTGTATGTTTGTGTGTTTGTGCATGTGTGTCTGTCTGTCTGTGTATATGTTTGTGTGTTTGTACATATGCGTATATGTGTGTGTCTGTGTGGTTTGTGTTGTGTCTGTCTGTTTGTGTATTACTGTGTTTGTGCATGTGTGTGTGTGTGCTTGTGTGTGTGTTTGTCTGTTTATTTGTTTGTGTGTGTCTGTCTGCCTGCCTGCTTCTGTGTGTGTGTATGTCTGTTTGTTTGTGCATGTGTGTCCGTGTATATGTTTGTGTGTTTGTACATATCCGTATATGTGTGTGTCTGTGTGGTTTGTGTCTGTCTGTTTGTGTATTACTGTGCTTGTGCATGTGTGTGTGTGTGCGTGTGTGTGTTTGTCTGTTTATTTGTTTGTGTGTGTGTGTCTGTCTGCTGCTTTGTGTATGTCTGTGTGTTTGTACATATGCGTATATGTGTGTGTCTGTTTGTGCATGCATGTGTGTGGTTTTTGTTGTGTTTGTTTGTGTGTGGTTCTCTGTTTTGGGTGTTTGTTTGTGTGTGTGTGTGTGTCTGTCTGTTTTGTGTGTGTGGTTCTCTGTGGTTTGGTTTTGTGTGTGTTTGTGTGTCTGCACGTCTGTCTGTATGTATGTCAGCTTGTTTGTGCATGTCTGTCTGTCTGTTTGTGTGTGTGTGTGTGTGTGTGTGTGTGTGTGTGTGTGTGTGTGTGTGTGTGTGTGTGTGTGTGTGTGTGTGTGTGCGTGTCTTTATCTCAATCTCTCTGTGTATACCTATCTATGTGTGTGTGTGTTTGTTTTGCTGGACAGGTTTGTTGAGTCTCAGAAAGATCCGGTCAGCAGTCCGGTTGTTCTGTGGCTGAATGGAGGTCCGGGATGCAGCTCTATGGATGGTTTACTCACTGAACACGGCCCTTTTTTGGTGAGAAATCACAGCACTTCTGCTTTTAGCAAACTGCTGACTTTATAGATTTGCAGGGGTGTCCACACTC